GGTATATATACAATAAAAGAAGTGTTGAACTGTACATAGAATTATATATACACTAAAAGGAAGTGTTGAACTGGTATACAAGGTAGCATATACAATAAAGGAAGTGATGAACTGGTATACAAGGTATATATACAATAAAGAAAGTGTTGAACTGGTACATAAGGTACATATACACTAAAAGGAAGAGTTGAACTGGTACACAAGGTATATATACACTAAAAGGAAGTGTTGAACTGGTACACAAGGTATATATACACTAAAAGGAAGTGTTGAACTGGTACACAAGGTATATATACAATAAAGAAAGTGTTGAACTAGTACACAAGGTATATATACACTAAAAGGAAGTGTTGAACTGGTACACAAGGTATATATACACTAAAAGGAAGTGCTGAAGTGCTACATAAGGTACATATACACTAAAAAGAAGGGTTGAACTGGTACACAAGGTATATATATACACTAAAAGGAAGTGTTGAACTGGTACACAAGGTATATATACAATAAAGGAAGTGATGAACTGGTACAAGGTATATATACAATAAAGGAAGTGATGAACTGGTATACAAGGTATATATATAATAAAGGATGTGATGAACTGGAATACAAGGTATATATACAATAAAGAAAGCGTTGAACTTGTACATATACACTAAAAGGAAGAGTTGAACTGGTACATAAGGTATATATACACTAAAAGGAAGTGTTGAACTGGTACACAAGGTATATATACAATAAAGGAAGTGATGAACTGGTATACAAGGTATATATACAATAAAGGAAGTGATGAACTGGTATACAAGGTATATATACAATAAAGGATGTGATGAACTGGAATACAAGGTATATATACAATAAAGAAAGTGTTGAACTGGTACATAAGGTACATATACACTAAAAGGAAGTGCTGAAGTGCTACATAAGGTACATATACACTAAAAAGAAGGGTTGAACTGGTACATAAGGTATATATACACTAAAAGGAAGTGCTGAAGTGGTGCATAAGGTACATATACACTAAAAAGAAGGGTTGAACTGGTATACAAGGTATATATACAATAAAGGAAGTGATGAACTGGTATACAAGGTATATATACAATAAAGGATGTGATGAACTGGAATACAAGGTATATATACAATAAAGAAAGTGTTGAACTGGTACATTAGGTATATATACAATAAAGAAAGTGTTGAACTGGTACACAAGGTATGTATACAATAAAGGAAGTGATGAATTGGTATACAAGGTATATATACAATAAAGAAAGTGATGAACTGGTACATAAGGTACATATACACTAAAAGGAAGAGTTGAACTGGTACACAAGGTATATATACACTAAAAAGAAGGGTTGAACTGCTACATAAGGTATATATACACTAAAAGGAAGTGTTGAACTGGTACATAAGGTATATATACACTAAAAGGAAGTGTTGAACTGGTACACAAGGTATATATACAATAAAGGAAGTGTTGAACTGGTACATAAGGTATATATACACTAAAAGGAAGTGTTGACCTGGTACATAAGGTATATATACACTAAAAGGAAGTGTTGAACTGGTACATAAGGTATATATACACTAAAAGGAAGTGTTGAACTGGTACATAAGGTATATATACACTAAAAGGAAGTGTTGACCTGGTACATAAGGTATATATACACTAAAAGGAAGTGTTGAACTGGTACATAATGTATATTGTATACAGAATAAAGGTAATAGTACACCAGATCTGCATGGAATCACCTGTACACAAGGAAATCTTTACGGTTCTTTTTCACACTGGATTTTACTTCTAATTTTGAAAATCCCCAATCATCCCGCTTTTCTTGAAACCCAACAAGCCACTTCAAGTATTAGATTCTACGATTCTATCTGTCTCAAATGTATTTAGTAAAAGCTTTGAGCAACTCTAACCTATTGCTACATACACAGGTTGGATTTCGTCCCCTCAGTTATCCATCTCTCAGATACCATTACCAATAAGTTAATAGAAATCTACCTTCTTGTACTTTGAAAAGGTTTTTTATTCAGTTTGGCATCATGGTTTGAACTTCAAGCTACGTTCTATGTCTATCCCACTTTCTCATGATCGTGTCTTATATTCATTCGTTGTGGAACGTTAGGCAGTCGTGTATATCAAAGGCACGTTGTCAAGACTCTTTACTCAATGTCGTCTCTCCTCTATATCCTGTTTGTTTCTGCTATGCCACAGCCTCCACGTCCAGCACAGATTTTCAGTATGCTGATGACACCGCCAGAGCGGCCACCTGCTGAGCCAATCACTTCTTTGTTTGGTGCAGACACTCGATCCATATAAAACCAGAGTTTTATGTTTTGTCAAAGCAGAAATAAATATCAGTCTTGTCGAAATCCTGATCTCTTTAATGTTCTAACAGATCATATTTCCATACAACTATCTAACACAGTTAAATATTTGCCTGTCACCTTCGATAAGCATCTAACATGGAAGGCTCGTCTTGCAACATACAACTTCAAGGTTATGCAACTACTCAACCACCTTGCAACACTCAACTTCAAAGTCACACAAAGACTCAATCTTCTATACTCTATATGATCATCTGGCGACCCGCGAAGCTATTGTATCCAGCCTCTGTTTGTTTGTTTTTTTCAATCATGTTTTATTTGGGCAAAACTGGCAAAACGAAACCGAGAGCAAAGCAAGCCAGTCACGTGACGGTTCTGAGGACTTTCTTCCAATGTTAAGTCAACTATATATTCAAACCCATATAGCTGACTGCGGATCCACAGAAGACAGTAGTAATTTAAATTTAAATTAAGCAAGTATTCTAAACGTACTTCACCTGGTCATGTAATGTCGTCCC